ACGAGAGTGAAATCTCTCTGAATGGGTCTACACCAATAGTTATTTAATTGACGAATGGGGTTAGGCCTCATTAGAATAGCACGGTGTGGTGGGGGACATTGCTTTAACGGCACTGCTTTTGAGCGAACAAGTTCGAAGCGAAGTTCCAACTCCAACTACAACTCCAACCAAGCTCAAGCTCGCCTTCTGAAGAGGGGCCTGGGCTGGGGAGTCACCGCTGGGCAAAGTGAAATTTCTGCTATTGACTCATTTACCCCCTCAAGTGCTTCGCTGCGGATAGCGGGAAGTGGTAGGTGGGGAGGGGAGGGGAGGGAAGATGTGCGCAGCGCCTCAAGATGTCCGAATCAATTAGCGGCTTTTAACTGGAGCTCGGAGCCGGAGAAATGAAGAAGGCCCAAGAAGCTGCTGCCCGCCACCGAAATATTTAAATGTGGAATATGCATGAGTGTGCCCGTAACGGTTCAAGCATCGAAACTATGATATATAATGATAATTCTATGCCCAACAATCACAAGTGATATCTTCATCTACATTTAAATGGATGTTCACATGTGTGTTAATATGCATGTAGTCCCCACATATCTTCTCCTTACATAATTTCCAACTCTTTCACTTTGTTCCACTTTCATTTTTGTCTTCCACTGCTTTTTGCCTCACTCTTCTGCTTATCTGTCGGTCCATTTCATTGATGACCTTCCCGCATGTTCAAAGGCAACAGATGGCTAGAGAATACCGCCACAACTGGCGGGCTAGAAAGCAGGTTGTGACCTAACAGGCCCAAAGCTCAGCCCAAGTCCGACGTGGGGGTCGGGTTGTTCGAGCTACAATGCCATTAAAAAATGTTCCCCAATGCGACTGCTGTGGAACTGGCATTAACCGTAAGTATAACCGTAACCCGTGCAACCCACTGGCTTCCATACTGGTTGGATGGGGTTGGATTGGGTTGGATGGGGTTGAAATGGGTGGGAGCTAATTGCCTAAAAGCTGATAGTTTATCGAAATGTCTTAGCGGTATCTTGGCATTTCCAATTTATGAAATTTGATATTTTGTATAGCCTAATGTTACCATAATATGAATTTCTCATGTGTGGATTTTTCTTGAAAGTGTCTGAGGCTGGGAAACTTAATATATTTTCGGTCTTTAAGTCGGCAAAGCAGAGCCCGGAAGGTATTACAATTTATAATTAACTTCAATTAATTATTGCATAGCGAGGCAGACACATTTCTGTCAATCTTTTAATTATTAGATGCATCATGAGAGTATGAATTACAGTGCAGTACATACACAAACACACACATACACATACACATACACATGTGTGCATGGTAATAATTTCACTCGGGTTTGAGCTTGAGTCTGGGCCACAGGTGACGCAGAAATTCCAATACGTAACCGGACCGTCTTCATTTGCATTTCACATTTGGAACAAAAATCGAAATTACAACAACAAAAATATCCAAAAAACAAGCACAATGCACACATATGTATGAATGTACATACATATGCATGACTCCACGTGTGTCCAACTAGTTATCTCTTTCGCTCTCACTCTCAAACTCCCCCCTCGAACGCGTTGCCCCATCTCACGGATCGAGTTTTTGTTTTTTGGCTTGCCCGAGACCGACGCATATTTTCTAATTTTGTCAATAAATTATAACGGTTGTGAAAAGTTATTAGCATGAATTAATTATTAAACGCATAGGAAAATAGAAAGTGAAATCGGTTTTTGAGTCTTTTTGTTGTTGTTTCTGTTTCTGTTGTTGAGTTTATCTGAAAATTATCATAACACAATCTGCGCGGGACAAGCGACTGATACGATCCAGCTAAGAGTGAGGTGAAGATGGTGATGGCCCATTGAAACCGAAATTGAACTGTTAATTATTCGGCTTCGGAAGCGAAAGTGTTCAGCTCCCCCAAATCTTCCCCGCAAGCGATTTGGCAGGGCCGAGTCACTGCTGCAAAAATTCCGAACAAATTTCTTTTCTTCGTCTGCAGAGGCAACTGGCCACACCATCTGCGTGTAATCCGCAAGGCGTGGACCGGACCCGTGATTACCAAACGCTCTCGCGAGCTGCGATTATGCTAAGCAGCAGTTCATCAGACTTTAACATCCTTTCATGGTTTATATAACCCAGCAGACAACAGACAACAGACAACACCATATTCACATGAAGCTCGTAACAGTGGCATATTTTGCATAATTTTGTGTCTTCTGATTTCAGTTTTGCGCTTTGGCTGCTGTGGCGTTGAATTTTTCCGCTTGATTTGTTTCTCTTCTCTGTGTGTGTGCTTGTATGTAGATGTTTGTATGTGCCTTTGCCACTTTCTTCTGACGCCTCCGACATTGATTTGTGAGGTCTACGTGTGGGTGAAATCGCTGGGGCAACAGCAACAAGATGGGAGGAAGAAATCAAAGTTACCATAATAATGATGACCATAATGTGGAGACCCCATGCCAAAATTAAGGTTAAGTTCTTTAATGCAGCCAACGGAGAAATTTTGTTGTGTGTTTGCCATCTGCGTGGGCCTCGACCACGAATGGGTCAGTGGGGAGCGGGTAACGGTCAGCGCACAACGGCCAGTGTGCGAGTGTGGGCCGCATTTCCGGTCAAGGCTGACCCGATGGACCAGAAAATTAACCTTCTCAAGCGATACTCCCAACGCAACAGCATTGGTGAGCTTTGAAAGCTATCGTGGATTCGGCTACAGCTTGCGCGTGCGTGCGTGCGTGTGGGAAAGCCAACAGAAAAAGAGATCACTTGGGTGCGAGAGCAGTGGGTGGATGATCTGCTTCTACTGGTCGTGTCGGATCGTGCAAGTCGTCTTGGCCAATTGCCCAACTATTGAACAGTTCCACTTTCCAGTGGGTCACCAAAGTCCCCTCCGCTGGGCACACAAACTTTGCCCGCTAAGTGGTGAGGAGAGCAGAGCAAAGCAGCGCAGAGAGGAATGCTATGGGATGATGGTAGAAAGTAAAACGAAGAATGTAAGCGCTTCGGCCTCGTCTGCGTTTCTTTTGTTTTGCCAAATTCAAATAAGTTAATGACGGGCCCGAAGAAGAACGAAACAGAAGCACAAACAGAAGCGGATAACAAACGTCGTAGATGGTTAGGTTATGTTGCGGATGGAGGGAGGGATGGAGGGAGGGTAAGAAACACCTCAGCCAGAGACAGAGAGCCACAGCCAGAGACAGTGCCAGTGCCAGAGCCAGAGCCAAACTGGTTGACACAATTTCACGGCGACTTTTACGTGCAATTGCCTTGGCATGGTCAGGCATTGGCTGCGCTGTGGCTTTTCCTGGTCTTCAACTGCGACTTCAGTCATCATCTTTGGCCAAGTTAAGTGCCGCCGAGCCGAGCCGAGCCGAGCCGAGCGAGCGTGCGTTCTACAACTGCTGTCTACGACCGCATTTCTCATTTGTCAGTCAAACAAAAACAACAACAACAAAAAAATCGAACTGAGGTGAAACAGATGGCTCAAAGTTTACTGTACAGTGGCATCCACCCAATTTTGTTTGGTCATACGTACAAGTGTGCTTTCCTGGCGGTACGGACACTCCACTCGTTTGGGGATGCGCTCTGAAAGCACCTAACTGCAGCGGCCACAGAACAATCAATAAACAAAAGGCACTTGAACAAAAAAAAATCGTTTGAGTTTGACACTCCGTGTAACGGCAAATCGCAGAGGGAGCGACAGCAGAGAAAAAAAACTGTTTGTAACTTGGCGCGCGCCTGTCTGTGTGTAAGCTGGGCTAGGTAGGAGCTTTTCTGGCTTGTGGGGAAGCAAGCTCGGAGCTTTTAAAGACTCAACTGAACGTTCGAAGACGCGAAACACAACTGCGACGAGTCGAAGGCATCGAGCCGAGTTATTGGCGATTCCAGCGACTGAACCGAACCGGGCGCGAACCCACAGCTGATCGAGCCAGCCCAAAAAGAGATGCTTTCTTTTCCCATCGAACGTGTTGGCCGTGGCACCTGTTCTACACCAAACCAGAGCCTAACGGTACCACACTCCGTAGGCCTCCACGATACATGGGCACGTACAACGGACTGCTCGCTCAGCCAGCGAACATGTTCGTCTGGCTCATACGATCACCTCTCGCAATTAACCCCCGCTTCGAACTCTTGTCCACTGGTAATTTGTGCCACTTGGCCAATGCGGCAGCGCTCTTCCTCTTCCTCATCCATATACTTCTCATAGTGATGGATTACGTCTGATATTTCTTTGTCTGGGCCTAGATGACGCACCCAGCACAAAGGAGACACACCAAGGACCGCACCCTCTGCACGAATGAACCTTGAAGTGGCCAAGGAACTCTGCTCTGTCCACGAGACAAAGAAGATTCTCAAGGCCCCAGCTAGACGTGATTGAGCTCCCCAATGGAACTGACAAAGCTGCATATCTGAAAGATCAGAGGAGCTGCATCCTATTTCTTCTAAAAATGGATTTAGTACAGAGACTGATTTCATTTTATTTTTCTACATATAACAATACATTAAACTAATTAATGAGGTTGCATATTGCACGGTGCAAGCGCTCCTGTTTATGAACATAGTTGGACCCTCCATAGCTCCATTGGTAAGTACTTTCTTTCCCAAGAAAAACTATGTTTGCATTTTACTTTGCATTGCTAAAGCGAAAATATGTTAATGTCTATGTTGATTGAACCATGCATTCATTTTCCAAATTTTAAAACAATTTTGAAAGGAATTCCTCAACTTAAAATGTAAGAAATGTCCACTTAGCGGCTTCTAAAGTCATTCATTATTACATTTGGCTAAGTTTTACTTTAACTTTATTAAAATGTTGCTACTCAATTTACAAATTTCCGAACTCGGCCTACTAATAAATAAATATATTGTATTAATTTCAATATGTCCGCATAAAACTCCTAGTTGGCCGTTTTTTCTCATGTAAGTATTAGGTCGAAACTTATACCTTGACAAAATCATTTTATTTTTACACAACCGGTAATAAACAACAATACAATTTTTTTTTTTCTGGCTCCCCTAAAAATATTTCAAATATGAATAAACTGAAAATCCCTGGTAAGTGAACAAAAATGATTATTATTAAACCGACTTATAATCCGCCACGAATCTCTTTTGGCCAAAGAGATGAACGATTGGACGTCGAAGTCGACTCGCAGCCGTGACGACATGGTGGAGGTGTACGAGAACGTGACTCGCATCGTCTGGGTGGACCCTAAACAGCCATCTGCATCCGGGAAGAAGGTGGTCAACATATTTGTTGAAAATTCAAAAAAAATAACTCAGAAGAAAGTCAAAGCTAAAGTTACTTGGCAACTTGTGTGTCACGGTATTTACCAACGAAAACTGAACACCGACGACGACCCGACACTGAACACGAAACCTGGAAACGAGGCCCTGGCATCTAAGGATTCGAAATGCAGTGGAGATGCGGGATCTTCAAAGAGTTCCAAGACGATTGCTGCTAATGTGGCTTCCCAAAAGCATGAGGCGGTTCTATTGGCCAAAAATTTCTTTTCTAAATTGTTAAAATAGCGTACTAAATATTTCGAACACTGTGCTAAACATAAATCTTTCGATGTAAATACAAACCAATACTTAATATCATACATTAATAATTGCTACTTATTGCTGGGTATGGGACAAGGAATAGACAGAGAGAAACGTTTGAGGGAATGTTTGAAAACATGTTTTAATAATTGATTTATATCATTCACATATGTAGGTTTTTGTTTGTTTGTTTGTTTGCTGTATATGTAAGCATTTCTATATAGTAGATAACATATGTATGGTATGGTGCTGATGCTCTCCTCACCCAATGCTTTGTTATTCATTTTGTGTTTTGTGTCTTTCAATAATTATAAATATGTGTGAGGTACACGAGAGGACAACGCTCTTAAGTTGCCTCCTGCATACATACATACTTATATATATATAGATATAAATATCTGCCTCGGGATGGAGGATACTTATGGAAGCAGAAAAATGTTCAATTCAACTAAAAACCCAGAAGAAAAAGAACTTATCGGGGGAGCGACAATAATACTCGTAATAAAACTACATACATATACATACATAAAGTTTGCACAAAGACACAATATTAATATACATTAAACAATTGATAACAAGGGATTGGTGGAGAACCAAAAACAAAAACAAAATACAGACATATCTTGAAGGGCAGGAGGAAAAAAAAAAACGAGTAATAATTATTTGAATGCCGACTGGGAGGGGGCGGCTGATTGGCTTAGAAGATTGGTATGTAGTTGTCGATTTTGGCGCGATGCTTCTGGGCCACGCACTCGGCAATCCAGACAATGTTGCGGCACTCCTGCTCCTTGAGCTTAAGGTACGCGTAGAAGACGCCAAAGTGGAACTGTTGCAAGAAGGCGTACACGTTCAGCTTGACCTCGTGCTCGAAGAACTTATCCTCGAGTGTCTTGTCGCCGGGATTGTTGCCGGAGCCGTCGAAGAGAGCGGCGTACTCCGCATAGTACTCGGCCACGGTCTTCACTTGCTCGTAGTCGTCGGCACGGGCCAGAGCGGCCAAGCCATCGGGGTACATCTTGCCACAGTTGGGATACAGCTTGGCGCGATCGTCCTTGGACAGCTCGGTGCCGAATGAGTTGATCGTGATGATAATGGCACGACGATCGGCCTCAAACTGCAAGCATAAGAAGAGAAACCAGCTATGGAATGAAGGAGAGACACCAAGGGGCGACCGGGGCACTTACCGCCAAGATCTCGCACATGACATCTGCGGTAGCACCGCCCATGTTCTTGCAGAAGTTGTAGAAGGCCTCCAGGTAGGCTTTGTACAGCGTGTTGCGGATGATTTCGATGTTCATCTCGTCGAGATCCTGCTCGGAAATGCAGTCGACAAAGAACGGGGCGAGCGGCGTGTCCACCAGCACAGCGTTGTACAGCTCAGCGGGCGTCGATGCCACATGGATGGCCTCCATCTGCTCGAAGCTGCCCAGCGGATGGCACTTGGGTATCAGCTCCGAAATGGGCCGCTGGTGCAGCGTGCCCGTAATGAGCAGAATGATGTTGTCAATCATATAGCCATAGGTGATGAAGTCCAGGAAGTTGGACAGCGGCTCCACAGCATGGTTGCGCATATGCTGGAACTCAATGACCAGCTTCTCCCGCAGCTTGTCATCGATCACGGACACGGACAGCGGTGAGGGCTCGTTGGCCAGGAAGCTGCCGTAGTCGGTGCCCTGCAGATGCAGTTTCAGATCTAAAATTGAATCGGACGTGCGAATGCATTTGAATTTCGTGGAAAATGTCTAAAATATTATTAACTAATCACAAGACAAGCTTACACACACACCCACATTCGTTCACATTCATTCGTGCACATGTATGTATGTATGTATACATACAGTGCTGCTGCTGCTGATATCAATCAGCCACGGCCGCACGGTCACATGACAAAGCGGGCGTACGGGTATGGACGGGACGGGTGCGTTGTATGTATGGTGGCGACCAGCCAGCCAGCCAGCCAGCCCACTTACTCACCTTCCAAGGTTTCGCACTGCACCAGATTCAAGTAATCCGCCTGCTTCAGGATGCCACACTTGAAGCCACGGCACAGGCCCTCCAGATAGCCATTGTCGATGTTGAACATGAATCCTGAGCTGTCCATAGTTGCAAACTTACAAATCAACACACAAAGCAAAAAAAAAAGCACACGACACGCGCACTGTTACTGTAATTGGGAGGAGTTGACTGAAAGTCTGGACTCGGGCTGCGGGCTGCGAATCTGGCTCGATTGAATTCCGCGAAATGTGTAAGAAAGCAACGGTGCTGTGATGAAAATTCAACCTATTTTCTTTTCCAAATCGATCCAAGTCATATGATTTTTTTTCACGGTAGGGCTCAGTGTGACCGCTGCAGCATGACCTTTAAAAATATACCGAAATATGCATTCTCTTTTCCAAACATACCGTAAATATACCAGTTGCCAAATTATTTGCAGACATATGATATTCTATTTCATGCTATCAGCCATTTATTAGTATCTGATTTAAGTGCACTTAAAAACAAAGTTGCAAAACTAATTTAAATAATTATTTATAGGGAATCAATTAGTGATTTAATGCGTATTTTTAAACACCCACTCAAGGGGTTAACCGTTATCTGCCCATGATTGGGAACAAAATTCTTAGATTTTTACAGTGACTTTAATATTACCAGCTGGCGAGGACCCGAAATTATAATATTTTCTACTAAACGAGTCTCTTAAATGTGATTTCTTTTACACTAAGGCACAAACCAAAAAGTAGAAATTAAATGCAACTACACATGTTCCACATTTCGTTACATGCGCTTTATCGGACTCAACTACAGGTGGCGCTGCCACAAGTTGACTATTTCGACGACAGGTGTCCACAAAGTTAAATTCCATGCTAAATTTAATAATTAATAAACCATCTTTAATAAGAACAGACAGAAAACTAGTTGATTCTGTCAATATATAAATATGCATTTAATTAAGTGTTGGTTTGGGTACAAATATTATTAGGATGCCCATTAGTTGACTTTATTTAACACTATTGCCTGAACTCAACGTCTCAACGCCTCCTGCTCGTAGTAGGGTATGTAAAAGTAGGCAATCGCCATAAAGATGAGCATATCGACGAACATGAGGCCAGCGAAGAGGAAAAACTCGCTGGCCTGCGAATCAAAGAACTGCAATTCCGCGACAACCACAACGATGACATTGCCAAAGGCGACTGTCAACAGCCAGCAGGCCTGCAGCACGGACTTCATGCTGGGCGGGGACTGGGAGTAGGAGAACTCCAGTCCGGTGACTGAGAACATCACCTCGCCGAGTGTCATCACCACATATTGCGGCACCAGCCACAGCATGCTCATCGAGTTTGGCTCCGTGACTTCAAACATGCGCGAGACAAAGGCACCCTGGCTCTGGGCCACGACCAGGGCGTAGACACCGCCCGCCCGCACGCTGACATCGGTCAACGGCTGCTCCCCCACCTGCACGTCATACTCTCCGGTAACCAGCTCGTAGAGATCATGGTTGCGTGCGGGCATGTCCAGCACGACGTTGCCACTGCTCGTCTCGGTCCACACCACACGTGTGGTGGCCAACAAATTGGCCAGCGTCCGCACAAAGGACTGCGAACGGTTGGACTTTTGCACCTCATCCACGTACCAGTGTTTGGTAATGGCGTGCGCCGGACGCAGAAAGAGCGTGTGCGCCGTCGCCTCATACAGCTCCTGGGTGCCAGCCTGCAGTTTGATGCAGCCTGTGAAACGCAAAGCCTTGGATATCGGCTGCTCTTTGAATGTATGTCAATGTAATTCACCTGTTGTGAGGCTCTCGATGGAGTAGGTGAGCGTGAAGGTGCCGTTGCAGGTGGCAACGCTGCCCGAATAGTACATGTCCAGGCCCTGCAGCGTGAAGCTTTCGCGTGCGCGCAGATTCGTGCTGATGCGATAGGAGCACTCGGGTATGCCGCTAAACACACGAAGCTGTGTGTTCCCGCTGCTCGGTATGTTCGGGTAGGTTTGCTGACAGTTCCAGGCGGCGGGGGGTGGGAGGAAGATAAACCGTTCAATGTGCGGAGAGAGTTCTTTTCTCTCTTCTCTTTGTTTCTTTTGAGTTTCTCTTACTCAAATGAGTTGCAGAGAGGACAGACACAAGACAAACACACACAACAACAAAAGATAAGCAAAGAGACGGAGGGAAGCGGCTTACTAATTGATTTTGTTTCTTCATTTTATTAGATTAACTAAACTGAAATGTTTCTTGTTTTATATGCCACAACAGTCTGCCGATACGGAGCGACCAGAGCTTCACATACACTTAGATTGGAAATGTAATCGTAGGGATCGGACATATACACATAAAATATTTATAATACACAACACGGGAGCAGCAGCAGCCGCAGCCGCAGGAGGGAGAGAGCAGTGTTAGCCTCTACTCATTGATGTCCTTGCCCTTGTTCTCGACACCCTCTTCGAGTGGCGGTATCTCGGTCTTGGCATCGCCCGTCAGTGGCTGCACTTCCTCTTTCTTATTGGGATCATTGGGCTGATAGTAGTACGCCATCACCATGAACACCAGCATGTCCGCGAACATGAGGCCGGCAAACAGGAAGAATTCACTGGCCTGTGAATCGAACAGCGCCGCCTCGGCAATGATCACGACAATGACATTGCCAAAGGCAACGGTAAGCAGCCAGCAGGCCTGCAGCACGGACTTCATGCTGGGCGGTGCCTGGGCATAGGAGAACTCCAGTCCCGTGACGGAGAACATCACTTCGCCGAGTGTCATGATTACATACTGCGGTATCAGCCAGAGAATGTTCATGGAGTTGGGTTCCGTGACCTCAATCAGCACGTGGTCGTAGCCCCCTTGGGCATTCTGCTTGACCAGCAGCGTGTAGACACCGCCCGCATGGACATCGACGGATCCCACCGGCACGCCATCGATGAGCACATCGTACTTGGCGGAGTAGACGCGTGTGAGGAGCGTCTCGTTGGCATACTGCTCGTAGGCGATGTCCCCCTTGTCGGCATTCTTCCACACGATCGTGCTCTGGGGCGGCACATTGGCAACGGTCCGCACGAGGGGATG